GGCTCCTGGGCGGCTGGGCCCGGCAGCACAGGCGGATCACGCTCCTCTGGCCTTGCCCAGCCCGTCTTTGTTCGCCCTCCTCCTCTGCCTCCCACTCGGAGTCCCTTTCCATCCTGGGATCCCAATCAGGAATTAAGTGGCCACTGCCAATCAGGAAGTAAACACGCACTGTTTTATGTGCTCCTTTGTGGCTGGCATCTGCCGCGCTTCGGTTTCGTGTCTTCACTCACACCTAAACAGCAAAGTTCTTTCTGCTCAGTTTCTCTTTGAGAAACAAGGACAGTGAAGGAGGTGATCACCTCTCTTCCTTTACATCCAAACTCCAACTGAAGTATCTTAATGCTCTGCTAAGGGAAAAGTGAGTAAGTTTTGGATATCCAGAATACAGGCTGGGCTGAGGAAGATTTGTCAGTCTTTGTGTGCCCACCTGCTCTGTCCTGTCCCCTGAGTCTTCCTCCATTTGCATAATGTTTTTTGCCACCTCACCTCTCCCCCAATGTTTGCATCCTTCCTCACTTGGTCAAAGAAAAATCTGAGTGAAGATTACACACTCTGAGACCCCTTCCTCACTTAGTCAAAGAAAAATCTGAGTAAAGATTACACACTCTGAGACCCCTGCCCAGAAATAAGCAGCTCCAGCTCTTCATGGCCATCAGGTAACAATAGAAATGGAGACTGCACAGCAGCTGGGGAGTAGTGGGTGAGCTAGAAAATTAGCTGCCTTCTGGTATTGTACAGCTCCCTTGCCTGTGGGACATGAGCGATTGTGGTGTCAGTCAGCACACATGTGGGATCAAACCCTCCTCCAGGAAAGGCAGTGAACATCCCTCACCCAGTGGAGAGGTAAAAGTAGGACCTTACCTCTAAGGGGTTGTTGCTACATGGGATGTAGAAATGCTGGGTGAATATTGTGGTGCTGATCCCCTCACGGGACCACAGGACATGCATGGGGAATATGGCTGAAAAGGTGGCAAGGCAGAAGTAGAGATGTTTTGACTGGCTTCCTGTTTGTCTCATGCAGAGAGAGCTTCCTAGGAGGTCCTGACCCCATATCCTAGGATCAGCCTTCCAGGCAACGCAGGCTTTGGCAGCCACCCTTCCTGACAGGCTCCCTGCAGCCAAGGCACCTGTCTGAACGCCAAACTGCATCTCGGACATCTACTGAGGACTCTACTTTGGAAAAGACTTCAGTTCTCCCTCCCAAGAGGCACTGTGCCATTTGCTCACTGTTTCTGAGGACTTCCTGAGGAATTGCACTGGCAGAGCTGAGCCAGGCCCAGGAAGCCTGTGTTTGCAGTTTCAGCCAAGCCTCTGCTGTCTCTCCTGTGCGCACAAGACAGTAATGGACAGAGCCCCCCCGCTTCTTCAGCCTGGGTCTAACCTGGGACTCTTCATCGGCAAGTTCCTGGAAACTGGAGACACCTCGGAGCCTTACAGACTGCAGTGCTGCTTCCCACTGTCCCCTGCTGGATGCGGGCCCTGCCAAGAGCTGGAGTGCCTCCCCGCCTGCGCGGCGGGGGTACCAGCGCAGCCGCTCACAGCCTGCCGAGGCGCTGCGGGAGCGGGGGCCCGGAGCCGCACCCCA